TTAGCGTCGATAGCTGCTGTCCCTGAACTGATTCACTAGGCCCGAAATTTCAGTATGCAGAGGCCAAAGCCATTGATACTGATGTTGGAAGACTACCAGCGGTGGCAGTAGAAGTTATTGTTGTGTTAAGAGGCGGATTGACTCTTGAATCCGATATCTTCGCAGTAGATGGAAACGTTGGTAGAAAATGCACGTGCCGGTTACCTTGCACGGTAGTTGGCGATGACGATGCAGCTGGATGCGCGTTTGTGGTTGATGTATGGTTCTGGCAGCTCTCACAGCTCCAGCTTAAGTCAGCCACATTGCTGCCTACTCCAACGCAGTTGAAATGGTACCAGGCGTCGCAGGTGTCACACTGGACCATACTCTCGTTGTCTGCTGCGTCACATTTTCGGCAATTTTGACCCGTTGTTTCCTTGTCCATATTGACCATCGTTGCTAAGATTAACTGGTCTTAATTAAGGTCGATTCGCAAATTTTACTCGAAGACAAAAAAGTTTTAAAGAATTGTTGCGCGTATTGTCAAGCGCGGCAGTTGTACCAATTTAAGTAAAACACAAATTTCTAACAGCGTCCGAGCGCATTAAAACTTTTTATATTTCACCGTATTTTCTTTACAACTGTTTTAATCTGCACCAAGTAACTTGAATTTATAGATGGTCAAAGTGGCCTTATATTGCAGTTAGTTTTAGTAAATATTGTGGCGAATACTGCGGCAACACAAAGCGAACAACGAGAAATAGGCAGAATGTTCGAGGAATGACGTAGAACGTTCCACAAAGAGAAACGTCAAGTTGGACGAACACTGCGAACAGCGAGAGAAAGAGAATGAGCGATAAACTTCAGAATGTTCTAGAGTTGCCATAAGTGCCAGTGCCGCCACCGCGAGGTGAGTGAGTTACAAGTCAGCAAACTACAAGTAAAGTGAGCAGAGAAGCGAGTTGCGAATAAGCAAGCTATAAGTTTAATTGTGTGTAACAAGTTCAGTAAAGCGTTGTAATTGCTTTAACAAGTATTGTAGTGTTTTTACTGTATTAGCAAGTATTGTAAATTGTTTGTTGTACAATAAAGTTAATTGTACTACAATTTGGTCATCGATTGCATTTATTTAACAATCCAGCGATACGAACCGGAAGATTTGGGAAATCCGGACGAGGGTTCAAGGATAATCGTAATACCAAGTCCCCACCAAAAAGTTAACCATCTCAAATCGAACTTAACCACATCACTAACTATTGCTGTCCACACTATGGTTTGTGGTTTAGCAAACAGCTGTTTCCGTATTGTTTGTTTACATTGGCAGAATATTGTGTATGAAGTGCAATATGAGTTATCAAATCATAAAAATTGTGTTCTTTTTCATAAATATTTTCACTTCGGTGGAAGTAATGGAAGAATTGTTCGACTTAAGGCGGCAATTATTGAGAAGATTGCTCATTGCGCAAATGATTCTTAAACTAGCTTGTGTATGTGACTGCGCTTCAATAAGGTCCTGCTGGACGAAGGTGTTATACTATCTTTTTACTAATTTATTCAGTTAAATTAATTTGCATATATGTATATGAACGTAATCCAGATCCGTCGCCAGACATTCTGGGAAGTCGATTGCCAGCTGAATTCGGAAGTATTTTTTAAGAGTAACTTTCGAATGAATCGTAAATCCTTCAGAAAATTGTGTCATATGTTGACTGGTATGGAAAGAAGAAATACCCACTATCGGAAAGCAATTGTGTTGGAGAAACGAGTTGCAATTGCATTGTACGCGCTTGGATCTTCCGCAGAATACCGCACAATTGCAAATATGTTCGGAGTTGGTAAAAGTACTGTCGGCCGCATATTAATTGAGTTCTGCCATGAGGTTTGGAAATGTTTGTGGCCTTTATATTTAAAAAATTTTCCAATGACCGAAGTTAAGTTAAGGGAATTCATAAATGGCTTTCAATCACTAGGTTTTCCTTAAGTCTTAGGAGCCATTGGTAAGAGATTAAAATTTTTTACTGTGGAACTGTTGTAACTTTAATTTTTCAGATGGATGTCATATAGAAGTTCATCCAGCAAGAGAGGATGCAATTGACTACCACAATTACAAAGGTTGGTACTCAACCGTACTTTTGGCTTTAGTAGATGCAAGGTACGTTTTTATGTGAAGTACTTTTGTTCTGGTTATAGGAAAATTTATTTTATTCTGTAGATGTCGTTTTATATATATTAATGTCGGCAGCCCAGGCCGTTGCAATGATTCAGCAATTTTTGAGAGCTCCCATTTAAAAAACGAGTTTTTACAATGCAGTTTGTACAAAGATATGAGCAAGCAAATATCTGGGGTCAACGTTCCAGTCGTGTTACTAGGTGACTCTGCTTTTAAGTTAGATGAGCATTTAATGAAGCCGTTTCCATTTAACATTGACCAATCATTGCAACAAAAAAAATTCAATTTTGCCCTGTCAAAATGTCGAAGAGTTGTAGAGAATGCTTTTGGCCATTTAAAGGCCAGGTTCAGACGGGTTGGAAAAGGTTTGGACAACCAGATGGTAAACACCACATCAATTATAAAGGCATCTGTATTTTGCACAATTTCCTTAATGAGGAAAATGATGAAGTCAATGAAAGATGGATTTCCGCACAGCAAACTGAAGAACAAAGTCGACATCGGCCAGAAAGTACTCCCAACAATTATGGAAATTTTAATTCGAGAGCACAGGAAATAAGACAAGCATTCGTTTCATATTTTGGTACGTATTTTATTAATTCTGACGACGCAGAAATTCAACAAATGCATTTTTCATTTCTGAGACATCGCTGACATATCGTTCCAACAACACAAATCGTTTTTCGTCCGCCTGACGCATTTCCTCTGTTACTTTTAAAAAGTCATGATGAACTTCCTCCATCACTGCTACTGCAGTTTTTTTCTTTCTTTTTACAGATTCACTGGTGGAGGGCCCGTTACAGGATTCTACAAGGGAGCACTGAGAATTGAGAACTGGAGTACCAGTTTGTGACTCTCCATCAGTGTCACATTCAATAAGATATTCTTCAGTAATGGTGTAGTCCAAATCATCTGAAAATATATAATTCGCACAAAAAATTATTTAAGCCTATTCCGGTCCGACGTATGCCATTCGCACGAATCTAATCCTTCACTCTCGCTTGTTACGACAGTGCAAATCAGATTATTTCCGTAATAGGTATGACTAATAAAAGTACACCTATTATGCTATCCTCTTGCAGCGCAACTGCATCAAAGCTCTTATGTGCACCGAGAACTTCGTGGACTGCCCCATAATGCTTCCACTCTGATGGAGAGCCACCGGATGGACCAATTTTCGCCTTTTCTTGTCTATGGAGATAATAAATGAATATCTATGCTGATATAAATTCAGTACTTACCTGTTTTTTTTGATAAATTGTGAAGCTTTGTCTTCACTTCAGTGGCAGTGATATTATGGCCACTATTATCCAGCTCGACTGCCATTTCTTCATAAATGTGGCCATTCTTCCTTACCGACCGCAGCTCTGGCATTTTTTCTCGCCATAACTCAATCAGGAGTTCTTCTGCGGCATCGCTCCACAAAATACGTTTTCTTTGCTTTCTGTCGCCATTGTTTATAATTTGAATATGCATTTGAATGTGACATTTTGAAATTTTAAATCAGCTGTAGTGAACGTATTTTTTGAATTTTAACGATAACAACTCACAGATGGCGGGAAAAACACAGGGTTGTATCAGATTTTCAACGTGGTTTTGAGTTGGTTATCTTGTAACCATCTCAATGAAATGGTTAAGTGCTGTCATTTTTATATGGCGAAACCACACTAATTCAAGTGGGTTATCGGGATAACCAACTCAACAGCCATAACTACGTGGTTAGCCCCGGTGGGGACATGGTATAAGGATAATATGTTACATATTTAGGTAATTTTTAGCATTTTCTATAAGGAAGAACATTTCTAACACTTAATTTTTTAAAGAGCAATAGGAGCTAAACCCCTTCTACTTTATATAAATTCCATTCTACATATCGTCGAAGTTTTTGCAAAACCGCCCATCGCCCAATTGCAAAACCGCCTATCTTACGGCGCTCAAATTTTACAGGAGAGCGAAAAAACCGTTTATTCTTTGAAGGCATTGCAATGATAGGCGGTATTTTCTCTAGCTATTATTTTACAAATCTGTTGTTTTAATAACGATCTAACGATTTTTATGCATAAATCTCGATGCTTGGAGTTCAGGGTTACCAAATCTCATTTTGCCACAATGGCGATTTAGGCGGTTTTGCAACTGGTCGATGGGCGGTTTTGCAAAAACATCGACGATATATTTTTTAACAACTTAAGTAAAGTTCTGCATCCGCCAATTTCTACAGCCATACATCAAAAAAAATAAAGAGGTTACTTCATTGACGCATTGGTATGAAAGAATACTTTCTAACAGTAAAATTTGGCTAACTTTCATTTTTTTTACTGAAACCGGTTGTGAACACTTAAAAAACGGCCCTAAGATGGGCATAACATGAATGAGAAAAATGGAATAGATTTGAAGCCAAGCGGACTGAGGAGTAGATTTGAAATTTTTTTCATAAATCGGAGTAAATCAGATCTGATCTTAGTGAAGTCCAAACACTAGTAGGGAACATAGTTTTTACATTTTATCGCTAATGACCCAAAGATGGCGGGTTGTATCAGACTTTCGACGTGGTTTCGAGTTGGTTAGCTTTTAACCATCTCAGTGAAATGGTAAAGTGCTGTCATTTTTATATGGCGAAACTATGCTAAATCAAATGGGTTATCGGGATAACCAACTCAACAGCCATAACTACGTGGTTAGCTCTAGTGGGGACATGGTATAATAAAATTAGAGTAAACTATTTATAAAGTTAGCAAAAAATAATTTTTTTCGCAAAATCTTTAAAGGACTCTTTTATTTTTCGAAAAACCTTTGCGACAGTTATTATTTTACGCCCTGTACTTTTCCATTCATATTGTGGAAAACACTACTTAGTAAGTAAAGTTAAGTGTGCAGGGCGCTCGGGTATAAAAATCAGAAAAATTATAAAATAAGAAAATTGCCATACATTCAGGAATAGCCTGGAATTCTTTTGTAGGATTTAGTTATTTATTTTTAACATTTATTGTTGCTTTGAAAAAAAAATCTATGATATCCGTGTTTGTTTGTACCTAAATAATAGTAATTTGTAACAATAAATTGCACAAAAAAATAAAAACAAAAATTGTACTCCTTTTTTAAGTTCTGTACTGCTTTTTTTCTATCGAAAATAGAAATGTACTATTTTCTCTGTTTCAGAATCTGGCAACCCTAGTTACAAAGAACAGAAATGCCGTTAAACGAGATGCGATTGTCTCGAAAATTAACGAGATGCTTGAGGTAAGTGAATATTGTTACCCGAGCTTCACCAAGTACTTCTTTTAACATAATTTTAACGTGCTTATATTGCTTATTACAGGATTGCCCGCGTGTTGCTTTTGATGCTTTTGCGTCTTGCTTTTAGATTAATTTATTAGCACATTTTTGAGTTAAGAATGGTCTAATTTTCCAGCCCAACGCCTCAATTATAGATGCATATGTAGTTCCGCAAGTCCTTGACACCCTCCAACCTTTTAACGTACATACAGTTGTAATAATAAACAAAAGACAAACAGCCAAAAGTGGTGAAAATATCGCACTCCTATTATTTTGTGGACCCATACATGTATATGTAAGAATTGTGTACACCATCTCCTACTATTTCAATTAAATGAATACAAAAAATATGAGCGTTGGTTTTTATTTAAAAAAAGACTTGCTAACAAGGTAAAAAAATAGTAAGGGTATTCATCAAACCTTATAAATGCATTGTAAACCGTATAAACTTATAATTGTGTAAACCTTATAAATGAACTGTCAAAATTTTTATGGAAACTCGTTTACACATTTCTGATAAATTTATCCAGCGATTTTACTGAATAAACTTGATAAACTGAAGACAATGCAACTCTGTCGCAACTCTAGCTATGTTTTCTTAGGCAATAATCGGGATCCGCATACAAATTTTGCACGCAAATTCAACAACGATATGATCCTGATAGAGATCTGGTTCA